CTATCCAATACTTAAAAAAAAAAAGGTTTTAGCTATACATACAGTTTAAAGGAAAATTGTAATGAGAAGGTATGGAAGATGCCATTGGTAACCTCTCCTTCTGAAAATGCCAGTTCCCTGGCCAACGTAGTGATCTAATGGTTCCAATACTTTTTCAGTCACTGACCTATAACAAGTATCAAGAGTTCTGACTTCAATGTGACTTTGCTTGCTGCTTGCTTGTTTCAAGTCAGTGTATCAGAAAGTATTTAAGTCACAGCCAGCCGGCCAACTAGCATTTTTAAAAGTAGTTTAATAATGGCATGAGTTTTATTAAAGGTCATGACACTCTGAAGGGTCTATAATATCATTTTTATTTTCTATAATAGGGCACCTCACTTTCCATAACACATACACTAAGGACAGTGCAATGCAGCAGCTGGTGTGCGGTGCAGAGGGGGCTGCGATCAGTGTAGGATGATGCGCCAAGTTCTGCACATCGCAGTTTCCATTTTTAAAACAAACTTTATTCAGATGTCACAAAGACATCTCTTAAAGTTCATTTGCTGCCCTTACGGTGCGAAGCAGTGGATTGCCTCACGCCGCAGTGCGCTGAAAACAAGTACTACATGCAGTTTTATGCACGCAAAAAAAAAAAAAAAAACGCTCCGCAGTTGCTGGGGGTTATAGATTGAAATTAATGGCACACCTACATGCCTGATAAAGTGCAGTGCGTTTATCTGCAGGTCAGGGGCACATGTACATGATACAGACTATAACCAGACTACAATCAGTGCCCACAAATACCTAATAACTCCTAGCAATAACAAACTAAGGCTAGGTTCACCCCATACAGGGACATTGAATATAGGGAATCCTATTAATTTCAGTTGGCTGCCCTACATGCAAGAAATGCACAAAAGCAGTCATTGGGCCCTTTTCAAAATGCTGCTTTGTGTTCAAATGACCAATTACAAAATACCTGAGTTTTACATTTAATTTTTTAATGACATCCACCATCCTTACTGTTTAGATATATGACAAAAATGTGATTGCCTTAATGTATAATGCAATATTCATTTATCTCTTGTACAGTATGTGTCCGCCTTAATCCATCAAAAAAATCAAATATCAATGGAAATATTAAATGGAACAATGTACTTGGTGTTGGCTTTTAATTAAACACGTAAGCCCCTGCTGGTTAACATTTGATTCAGCCTATTGATTTTTGTGCCTGATCCCTGCTTTTCACATCAACAACCTTGGCAAGGTCCTTGGCATACATTTCAATGTAACTGAATTTGCTGTGTTAACCTCCACGCTAATTCAGAGTGACACCCATTGTCAGTCATAGCTAGACTGAGAGCGCCAGATATACGCCGTGTCACTTGTCACTTAGGGAACTGCTTTCCGTGGTCAGCTCACCGCAATTTAAAAGCTGGTTTTAAAAAGGAACCTGAAGAAATGGATAAAATCTGATGTGTCTAGCTGTGTTCCTTGTAAAATCAGCTAACATGCAATGCGGGAATTGCAAGAAAGTGACAATGGCATTTTCAGGGCTCAAGCCCCCCTCCAACACCTGGAAGGGAGAGGAAATACCCCTAATGGGTCATAGTCAGCAATAAAAACCTATTTGTTGGCAAAAGGGAGCAAAGTTTAGAACCTCTGTCAAAATGTATTGCTAAAACACAGCAAACTCTGTACTCCTGCACTTAGGGATGGGCTCGGCTAGGGTTATGGTAACATCTCAGATATCCTGGAAAATGCACTCCTTGCTGCCCTAAACGGACCGGGGTAATCCAATGTCACTGAATACAAAGAAAAACAAACAGAGGACGCACCGGCCTAGTGCATTATCGTAAAAAATATTTATTGGAAGGATAAAAAGTAAGTATCGTACTCACAATTGAGAAACAGGTCAATGGCACATCACACTAAACAGCAGTGTCCAATCCACATTGCATATAAGTCCAAAAATGGAACCATGGACTTCCAACAGGCTAAGACATTTCGAGGATTCAACCTCTTCCTCAGACTCAGGCTCTGAAGAAGAGGCTGAGTTCTCGAAACGTGTTAGCCTGTGGGAAGTCCATGGTTCCATTTTTGGACTTATATGCAATGTGGATTGGACACCGCTGTTTAGTGTGATGTGTCTTTGACCTGTTTGTCAATTGTGAGCACGATACTTACTTTTTATCCTTCCAATAAATGTTTTTTTTACGATAATGCACTAGGCCGGTGCGCCCTCTGTTTGTTTTTCTTTGTATCCAAAATTTATTGCTGGCTGTGTCCTCATAAGGGAGATTTCCTATCACTTCCTGTGATGGGTGAGAAACAAAAGACAAAAACAATGTATGGGAACTTTCCTGCCCAAGGATGTCCATGGACATTCTTGAGTTTCATGACCACAACTAATGTGCACTGCTCGTTCCAAACAAACGGAAGTGGGGGGTATAAAGAGGTTCTGGAGGAATTTACAAAAAGAGGCAGAAAAACTGAGAGAAAAAGATTTCAAGAAAAATAGATTACAAGGCAATTAGGTATTGGATGTATATGGGTAATTTTTGGAGAAAAGGTAAATTTAAAGTGTCACTTTTAATTTGCCTCTGGACCCCATCATAGCATGAGCATGTAAATTGAACGGGACAAGAATAATTAATTCATTACCTGTACATTATTTTATAAATCTACATAGAGATTCAGTGATCTTAATATGGGTTTGCAAGATAAATAATGTTTGACTGAAAAAGTGTTAATTCAGATTTTCAACTGAGATGAAAATTTACTGTGAGTAATATTAACATAGCTTTACAGTGTGCAGCTGTATATTACTGATAAGCACAATAAGACTGATATAGATACTCTAACCGTTCATGCACGCCAGGTCTCTCCCCCCACTGTTGCTACTCGCCCTCCACTTTCAGTGGGAGCTACCCGCTGTCAATGTAACAGTAGAGATTTGCTTTGTTTTTGCTGTGCAGAACCGGACCTTCACATCAGTGTTTGTAAACACTGTTCAGTAGCATAATTCAGATGAAGTAACATTATTGTTACTTTGTATTTACTCTTTTAATTCATATGAAGAGCAAAGAGGCTTTATATATAAATCATTGCTTCTAGGAAGAGCCATTCTTAAAGTGTTACTAACTCACAACCAGGGGTGGACTGACAACTCATGGGGCCCCCGTGTCCTTGCCCACACTCAAAGCACACCCAAAAAATCTTATAAAAAGGTACCAGGGGCATTTCATGGGGCCCACTACTGATCCTGGACCCTCAAGCAGTGCCCGAGTGCTTGAATGGTCAGTCCGCCACTGCTCACAACAGTAAAATCAGTCTGTATATGCAGTAAAGCATGCTTGTTATACTCACTGTGGAACCTAAGGGGTTACTCCTCTGCACTGTGTAAAAAGGCTGTTTGATCCTAACTTCTCTGATCCGCCCCTTCTTCCAGTGCCCCCCATTATCTCCTGATAAGACATATGGTGTGGTGTCACTCTGCACCACACCATGGACGTAACGCCCATGGTGGACATGTGGGCGTTACCGTGGACGTAACGCCCACATGTGCTTCTATAGTGAATGCAACGCTGCTGTAAGGGAAGTGGGAGGTTTGGGAACACATCTTGAAGCTTCTCTGGGTCTCATCAATTGCATGGGAGCCCGTTTTTTAAGGTTCCTGCTGGTTTGGAGTGATGTGTGATTCCCCCCTTCCACGCTGATGATTTTCCTGGTGGATGACTTACTAATATACCTGGATTGATGACATCTAGTGGCTAACCTGTAGATTACATCCTCCTGATATCACAAGTCCAGAGCACCAGGAGCGGGTCTTAATTGCTCCATGCGCACTTTATGCGCTATCTGGTTAGTGCATTATTTGTACAATTACAAGATCACAAGAGTCACGATTATCTCTGACCATGGATTACTTGGACAATTGCACCTATCACTTTATATCACCATGTAATATGGACTGAGTTTTTTCACATATGCTATTGTGCAACTTATGTATCTGATTTTCCATTTGTTCTTATTAGCTTTACTAGCGCTGCATACTTTTTTTTTACATGTTTCACTGGGTTCCAAAGGTTACCTCTTATGCTAGCTGCTTTATATCGATGTTCCCAGCGCTCAATTACCATTTTATATACATCACTCTGCACAAGCTCAGTTTGGTGTGTATTGCTAGAGAAGTTTTTTTTTTCTTGGGAGAGTGCATGTGATCAGCACAGAGTCAATCAGGGGTTAATCCTCTGCATTGTGTAACAAGGCCATTTGATCATTTCTTCTCTGTTCCTCCCCGTTTTCAAGCGACCACCTCTTATTTCCTGATAAGCCAGGCTGAACCGTAGGCATTTTGCACATGCTCAGTTTGGTGTGTTTTGCTAGAGAAGTTTTTTTTTCTTGGGAGAGTGCATAAGATCAGCACAGGGCCAACCAGCACTGTCCAGACAGAGGTCAGGGGTTTTGCATCTTCCTAGAACAGAAAGAAAACTCCGCCTATAAACTTTAACAAGTGCTCTGCTGGACACTGATAGAAATCACAAGACTGCTATATACTGCCGATGAGAAAAGGTATTTAGCAGTTTATATTTACTACAATAATTGCATTTCCATGTTCTGTGTACTGTGCGAGACCAGATATAGTGAATGCAAGGTCCTGGGTTTAGTAACACTTTAAACTACCATTTCTCCATTTTGCATTACTTATGTAGCGGGAGTGTATTCTGTGATCTGTTGGTTGGAGTATTTTGGGTGTATTGGCTGTCATTCTCCTATTCTGGCACACTTATTGGTAAGTAAGAAAATTTCTGTGCACTATATTCTGGCACACTTATCTTGTGTGCGGTTGGCGCAGTGCTCCTAGGCCTAGATGTCTAAATCAAGAATACTGGAAACAGGCAATTGTGTCGCCCTAAGTTGCCAATCAAATTCCATATCTCATTTTTCTCATTTCTCATGCAGATTGGAAAATGAAAGCTTACACCTGAAAGTTTGTTTTCTGTAAAGGGTCTTACCTAAACTGGATCTGGTGTTGGAGCGTTCAATTATCGCCCTCCTGCTTGGATTATTTAACACGGACCTCTTGGCAAGAGAAATGTCAGCCGTGACCCTTGTGATGGATATCCTGAAAAGGAGGACACAGAACTGTATTAAACATGTTCACTGAGGATTATTATATTTGTAATTTGTGCACAGCAACATAAAATCCTTTTAACTTGGAAGGTAGCTTATAGCTCAGAGTTTATAACAAAAAATAATTTCTGGTAAAACGGCCATTGTCTACTTGTTTTCATTCTTCACAGCTGGTTCTGTCAGTGGCCTACATTCTATACAAATCCTCTACTCCAAAGACAGATGTCCATATTCTGAGCATGCAGTTATTGAAGTTCTACCCTCTCAAGAAGAGGATTCTGAACACTGCCAGACAATGGTCTGAGTTTGATAAAATGCTTAGTCCTGGTAACCATGAATTTCTGAAGGTGGTCAGATGTGCGTGCATGGTTTCACCATCCCAAGGCTGTACCCCCATGCAATTACAAACACAAGAAATGTTTGAGTGTTAGGCTGCAGTCACACTTTTGCTTTTGTGGAATGTCTTTGGTTGTTTTTACAGATTTTTTTGTGTTTGTACAGGCATTTTTGCTTGAGCATTTCTTATTTTAACCACTTCCCGACCGGCCGTTGTATATAAACGGCCGGACGGTGGCAGTGCAGGGTCAGGTGGCCGTTTATAAACGGCCTCCCCACACCCTGCTTGTGCGTGCTCCACCGCAATCCGGTGCCCGCTGTGTCCTCTGGACACAGTGAAACACCGATCGTCGGACGGGACCTATTTACGAGGTCCCAATCATGTGATCACTGATTGGCGAATCAGTGATCACATGTAAAGTAGTAGCAAGATGTCACTTGTGACATCATTGCTTACTACGTGTGAAATCTGTGAGGTCACATGGTACAAGGCTAATCACAACAGCCTTGTACCATGTGACAAGCTGTGACCAATCACAGCTCACTCAGTAATTCTCAATGACTGCAAGAATGCAGACAGAGAGAAAGAGAAATGATTGCTTTTACATCCTATATGGGTGTAAAAGCAATCAGTGTAAAAAAAAAAAAAATCTTCATCATGTGACAAGCTGGGACCAATCACAGCTCACACAGTAGTTCTCAATAGATGCAAGAATGTAGTCAGAGAGAAGGAGAAATGATTGTTTTTTTACAGCCTTTATGGGTATAAAAGCAATCAGTGTAAAAAAAAAATCATCCCCCACAAGTAGTACAGTGTCACCATGGTGACACTGTACTGCTAGGGTGACAGTATGTAAAAAGAAAAAAAAACTGGTTATAAACTAATTTGGATTTTTTTTTTACTAAAAATATAACGGAATAAATTTTGGGCAAGCAAGATTTATGATGAAATATTATTTATTTGTAAAATTTTATTAAAAAAAACACTTTTTTTCAAACTTTTTGGACATTTTCATTTACATAGCAAAAAAAATAAAAATCCCAACGGTGAATAAATACCACCAAAATAAAGCTTTATCTGTCTCAAAAAAATGGTAAAAAATTCATTTGGGTACAGTGTTGTATGACCGCGCAATTGTCATTCAAAATGTGATAGCGCTAAAAGCTGAAAATTGCCCTGGTCAGGAAGGGGGTAAAAGTGTCCGGTCTGGAAGTGGTTAATTATTGTTAGCCAATAAAAAGCTAGGATGTGCTAGGGGAAGATTGTGCTAGGGGATGTGCAAAACATGCATTTTCATGTGTTTTTTTTTTTTTGTGTGGACATCCCCTTTGCAGCCTATTTGGGCAAAAATGCTTAAAATTTGTAGCTCAAAAAAGAAGCTTGAATAATTTCTTGGAGCTATAAGCTTCAAGCGACACTACTCTCCAGTGTGAACAGGCACAACTGAACCATGGGATTTTGGATGTTGAGTGTTTTAGAGCTTTGAGCTACAAAATGCTCAGATGGGAATGAAGCCTTAGTGAATAAATAGAGGGGGATGGGCAGAGGTGACAAGCTATATAGACAGATACTTTTGACACTGGGTGATAACAATAACCATCAGGACAGGTTCTTGCGAACAGAAGCTGGCCATTGGTCATGCATAGTGCCCATGGACATAGACTTATCTATCATTCCATGCACAAATAGTAGGACTAGTGACTATCATCTCATGTCTCTAAGTAGCCCATAACCAAACTCCAAGCTTATATAGAAAAAAGACGGTTTAGTCCATTTATATATATATATTATAAAATATTAATTCACATACATCTACCATAATCGCTTGCTGCCCACGTAGCGCATATGTGTGTTGGCAAAGAGAGTGAGCTTTAATGCCCATCGACCACACATTGCAATTCTTGGCCAGCTGAGCTTTCTGTGCAGAGAGTGTGCTCACTGCGTCTTCCCAGCTCAGTAACCGAACTGTCGAAAACCGCTCTCGGTCAGTGAGACTGGCTCCCAATCATGTGACCACTGTGACAGCCAATCACAATGATCACATGATCTGCTGATCCTTCCTGCCCCGGGCATACAAACCCTAATAAAGGGATAAAGACCTTATTAAAGGGCTCTGCAGGAAGGAGTTAAGTACCCACAATAGACTTTATATTAGGCCCTTGCAACCCCCTGTACAGAATCACTCTAACTGGAAAAGGAAGGAGAAGACCTCATCCAATCACAGGGTTGATGGACTTTTGTTTGCATCAGAATGGTTTCTCTACCCACACTCCAAAGACATGCTGGTAGGTTAATTGGCTCCTGTCTAAATTGGCCCTAATATGTGTATGTATGAATGTGAGTTAGGGACCTTAGATTGTACGCCCCTTGAGGGTTAGGGACTGATGTGAATGTACAATATATATGTGTAAAGCACTGCATAAATTGACGGCCCTATATAAGTACCTGAAATAAATAAAATAAATAATAGCCATACAATGCAAAAGCAGCATGAACCTGGCCAAACAGGTAAAATGCATCGGTCAATGAATTTCTGAATTATTTTAGAAGCATCTCAAACTGATGTCAAAAGCATTCTGCATTTGCCAAAAGCTTGTTGCACAGGCCCTAACAATGAGAATATGAATAAAGGATGGGAGAGAACAGACATAACCTCATGAGTGATCTGCTGCTCTTTCAATGCCCACTCAGAGGCTGGGATGGATTCTGGACCAGACTGTAATGCTTAAAGTGGTTCCAAAGTCTCAAGGTTTTTTAAGGAAAAAAAGGAAAAAAATATTCTGTGTGTAGCACCCCCCCCAAACACTTACCTGAGCCCCCCTGATCCAGCAATGTCCACGAGAGCCTCGGATCTCTGGGGACCGTCAATCCAGATTGGCTGAAGTAGCAGTGGGAGCCAGGGAGCCAATCAGGAGAGGGATGGGGCCTAGCTGTGACTGTGTGTGAAAGTACACGAGAGCCGCGGCTCGGGAGCGCACCTGCTCAGGTGCCCCCATAGCAAGCTGTTTGCTATGGGAGCACCCAAAAGGTGGGAGGGGCTAGTAACACCAACAGGGGACCCAAAAAGAGGAGGTCTGGGATGCTCTGTGCAAAACCACTGCACAGAGCAGGTAAGTATAGACATGTTTGTTATTTTTAAGGAAGAAAAACAAGACTGTAGACAGGTCTGTGATTTCTAGTAGAATCTCAAGACTGGCTGAACAGAGTTACAATCTTTGGCAGGTAAAACAGTTTACATGTAGGACTAGACCAACTTTCCATTTAGCTGATTGCCTGGGGTTTAGCTGTAAGTGACCTTGAAATGCTCTTTCATTGATTATTAAGTCCCAATACTTACTTACTTACAATACTTACTTACAATAATTTACTTGAAAAAATATCTGCCATTATTTTATTATAATCCTTTGGGGGTTTTATTTTTACATTTCTATAGGCAACCTATTTACATTTAACTCCATGTGCATGATGCAGGAAGATGTGCATAGTGACTTCTATTGTCTCTTGGAACATGTGTGAATGTGCTTGCCCATGTGCTGTCTAAACACCTACCCCACCTAACACCAGAGAGTGAAATTTAACACAATCAGAGCTACAGCTAGGAGAGAATGCAAATCTGAATATGTGTTAATCACCCTCTGCTTTGCCCCTTCTGTCCCATTCATGCAATGCTGGCACTACCTGATGTGACACTTCAGCTGGCATGTTAGGGATGATGGAAATTTCACATGAAGGAGAACGTTAGCGAATTCCACTAAGCCCTGTTTAAGTATGGCATCAGTAATTGTTTAGTGAATGTACTTAAAAACTTAAAATACCTTTTTTTTATGTTTTTTTAATACAAATAAACAGCACTGAAAAAAGGGTCCATATTTGTGGCTTTGCTTGCCCTCACCTCCCATCAAACCTGTGCTTCAAGAAGTCAAAAAGGGCTTTCTGCATCATGTCCGTCACCTTCCAAGATGAGAGGTTGGAAATAAGATTGGAGAGGAGAGAAAAAAGTGAACAGGTTGTAAAAGAAAGGACAGAGTTAAAAGAGAAGAGGTCTAGAATTCTGGCTTCAGACAACATAAAGTTCAGTAGAAGTTGCTGATTCATAAATTGCACTGTTACAGAAGAGACTAAAGCTAGCCATACACCATTAGAATTTCAATCAACCGTTCATACATATTATCGTTCATTAGAACATTGGATGATTCCATCATCGGCAAACTTCCTTTGAAAAATGTAAAAAAAAATAGTTTGATTACCATGCCAATGTATCACATTTTAACATACAATTGTGGAATGCACGGAAGTGATGTAATGTTGGAGTACGCATGCGATCTTATTAGCTACTCCATCATAGTACCACAGATATCTTTAGACAGGTTATTTCTATTGTTTTTATACCTCTAAATAAAAGTTTGCTTAAATTTATAGGTATATTGCATATTTATAAGTGGATTCTAAATACATGAGCTTATGATGTTAAAGGAATATACCGGATATATAGCAAACTATTAGAATAACAATACTTGTACTCAAGCACTCACTGATACCAATTACCGGTGAGATCTGCAGTGCAAATTGAGCCATTCATTTTCTATGACTCAAATGGCACAGCACCTGCAGGAAAACCACATGTGATTCCTGTTCAAATCACATGAGATTCTTTGAAGTGCGATTTGAGCCCATTCATTTTGAATGGGCTCAAATCGCACCACAAATGTATCGGTTTTTGGTATCAGAGTAAACTGAGTACTGTCCGTGATACTTTTTTTATTTGCACTAACATACAATTTTGAGGACAAGCTTTCGGGGTATGTCCCCTTCTTCAAAGTCCAAGCAGTACTATTACAAATCACAAAGTTTAAGCAGAATGTTAGAAGGGATGAAAAAAAAAAAGGCTACAGATAAGATACAGCAAAAGGAGGGGGGGGGAGGGGGGGATACTACACTCACACAGAGGGGGTCAAGCTAGCTAATAGTCATAAAACTGTTGGATAATGAGTGAGGAATCCCATGTCCATGTTAAGGACATTATCTCTTGTGTCAAATAGAATTATCATTCTTAGTTCAAAAGTTTTTCTTTCCTGAATGGATATAAATTTTCCTTTCAGAACTAAAAAATTGAGGTCTCCCATTGTGTGGCAGGGTTGTGCGAAATGGTGTCCTACAGGTGTGCAGAGGTCACCTTCTTTATGTTCTTTGATGGTATGTCTGTGCAAATTCATCCTTGTTTGCAACTTCTGTCCTGTTTCGTCAACATAAGATCCTTTGCTGCATTTTCTGCACTGGATAAGGTACACAACATTACTGGAGGTGCAGCTGTATGATCTGGAGATATTAAAGATCCCTTTTGAGTGTCTGACACTTTTTGACGGATTGATTTGGTTGCACAGCTTGCAGTGTTTCTTATTGCAGGGTTTGCTTCCATTATTTGTGAAATCTTGATCAGAAGGAAGTTTCCTACTGATTAGTTTATTTCTGAGGTTGGGGGGTTGTTTGAAGGCCAGTATTGGGGGTTGCTGGAACATTTCTTTCAGAGTTCCATCCTCTGTTATGATGGGTTGTAAATCTTTGATTATTTTTTTTATTCCTTCTAGTGCTGGGTTGTATGTGGTTACTAGAGGTACACGGTTGTTTGTTTTTTTCTATCAGAGTATCAGAGTACAAATACTTGTGCATATGCTCAGTGTCGGCACAGATACTGGTATTGATGCAACCCTAATATATATACACACATACATACACTGTATACTTCCTGGCGTCTACCTTCACGTCAGCACACAATGGGTAACTCCTCCTCTAGAACCCACAGGACCACCTCTTCCTAGCTCAATAAAAGACAGCCCCTTCCCAGCTGATGTGTCTTTTGTGGTCATGCTCCCGACCACCTATTGATTGCGTGTTGTAAGTACTTTGGTTGCTGCAAGTGTTTTCCCTCCTGGCACATTTAGCCCTCCAGGTTCAGTCTCCACTGGTGTTGGAAGACCCAGATAGTTGGAAATAAACCTTCCAAAGTGGGGATTGTTGCCTAAACAGCACTGGTATTGTACAGGTGTGGTATTAGTAAGCTCTGCAATGTCACCATTGGCCTCTCCCTTTGTTTTTTTTCCTGTCTTGTATAGGCAACATGCCACACCACTCTCCTGCCTTTATTTTCAGTTTGAGAGCGGCCGAGGATGATGTCACAGAGGGCAGGGTGATGGGGTGGTGTGGGATAGTAACCACCAGTCTCCAAGCAATGGAGCAAACAGTCTTAGAAGTCAGCATAGCGTTAGTGAAAAAAGACACTTGTCCATCTAGTTCAGGGGTCTGCAAACTATGGCCCTCCAGCTGTTGTAGTACTACAAGTCCCATCAAGCCTCTGTCTCTGAGAGTCTTGCCTGTGGCTGTCAGAGTCTTGCAGGGCCTCATGGGACTTGCACTTCCTCAACACCTGGAGGGACATAGTTTGGAGACCCCTGATCTAGTTCAACCAAAAAAAAAAAAAAACGTGCAAATTGAAAACCTCCATATATACTTTCCTATAGCCACACTTGGAAGGAAGGCAACATATATTTACAGTATATTGGCAAAAGTATTGGGCGGCCTGCCTTTATACGTACATGAACTTTCATGGTATCCCAGTCTTAGTCCGTAGGGTTTAATATTGAGTTGGCCCCGCCCTTTGCAGCTATAACAGCTTCAACTCTTCTGGGAAGGCCGTCCACAAGGTTTAGGAGTGTGTCTATGGGAAGGTTGGACCATTCTTCCAGAAGTGCATTTGTGAGGTCAGGCACTGATGTCGGACGAGAAGGCCTGGCTCGAAGTATCCGCTCTAATTCATCCCAAAGGTGTTCTATTGGGTTGAGGTCAGGACTCTGTGCAGGCCAGTCAAGTTCCTCCACCCCAAACTCGCTTATCCATGTCTTTATGGACCTTGCTTTGTGCACTGGTGCGTAGTCATGTTAGAACAGGAAGGGGCCATCCCTAAACTGTTCCCACAAAGTTGGGAACATGAAATTGTCCAACATATCTTGTATACTGACGCCTTAAGAGTTCCCTTCACTGGAAGTAAGGGGTCAAGTCCAAATCCTGAAAAACAACCCCACACCATAATTCCTCCTCCACCAAACTTTACACTTTACATAATGCAATCAGGCAAGTAGTGTTCTCCTGGCAGCTACCAAACCCAGACACGGCCATCAAATTGGCAGGCAGAGTAGTGTAATTCATCACTCCAGAGAGCACATCTCCACTGTTCTAGTGTCCAGTGGTGGTGTGCTTTACACCACTGCATCCAACATTTTGTATTGCACTTGATGTAAGGCTTGGATGCAGCTGCTCGGCCATGGAAACCCATTCCATGAAGTTCTCTACGCACTGTTGTTGTGCTAATCCGAAGGGCACACAAAGTTTGGAGGTCTTTAGCTATTGACTCTGCAGACAGTTGGTGACTTCTGCGCACTGTGCGCTTCAGCATGCGCTGACCCTGCTCTGTCATTTTATGTGGCCTACCACTTCGTGGCTGAGCTGCTGTTGTTCCCAGTTGCTTCCATTTTGTTATAATCCCACTAACAGTTGACCGTGGAATATTTAGTAGCAAGGAAATTTCATGGATGGAATTATTGCACAGGTGGCAACCTATCACGGTACCACGCTTGGAGTCACTGAGCTCCTGAGAGCGACCCATTCTTTTGCATATGTTTGTAGAAGCAGTCTGCATGCCTAGGTGCTTGATTTCATACACCTGTGGCCATGGAGGTGATTGGAACACCTGAATACAATGATTTGGAGGGCTGGCCCAATACTTTTGGCAATATGGTGTATATACTGTATTTATTTTACATTTACAATCTTTTATTTGCATTACAATAACTTAAATTTTTACAGACTGAGGACAACGTTCATTTTCAGAATTGTGTTAATTTAGATAACAAATTAAAACATTTTCCACCCTTATTCGATTTTTTGGTTTACAGATTAAAACGAATGTCCTTTCGTCCCCATAGAATTGTTTAAATCGAACAATGATTTTGAAAACAATCACTTTTAAAAGAAATTGTAATAATATATCGCTAGTTTAGCAATCCACATCTGTGTTTGCTGATCCTCTCCAGGGCTCTGAGAGCAATCCATTATCACCCACAAATATATCTCACAGGCCTCCTTTATCTGTGCTGGAGAAGACTGTCCAGAATCTCTTTATTCTTTCTGATAAAATACAATGTAGATATACTGGAGGTTATTTACTAAAACTCGTGTGCAACATTTGGTGAAACCAATCAGCTTCCAGATTTTATTGCCAAAGCTTAATTGAACAAGCTGAACTTAGCAGCTGATTGGCTACCATGAACAGCTGTACCAGATTCAGAGCGCACCAGTTTTAGTAAATCTACCCCACTATGTTCTATTTTATTGTATTTTTGTAAAGTACAACATTTATCTGATAGAAATTATTGGAATGTTAAATTTTTTACTTGCTTGCTGTTCCATATATTAATTGTCATCATGGCTGCATTGAGAGTGTGGCATGCTCACACAAGATCTTCCTGATTGTCCATTACACATTCCATTTTTTAATAAAAGGGGTATAATTTTCTATTATATTATTATAATATTGCATAATATTGTATTACATTTCATAATATAATATTATAAATACTGTATTTTAAAATTGTATAATATAATACTTTGTAATAACATTATGTAATACAAGGCCTGCCGCCCTGTCTGCCCAACAACCTGACAGTCCCCATTATTATTTTAGCATTCACCCACTGTTGGTCACCGAGAAAAAAAAACTGCTAGTAGAGATGAGTGACAGTTAACGTCAGTTATCTAGTCATCGGTTCTAGGTGTACCGACTCATAAAAAGTCTGTTAGAAACATATAATTCTAAAAAATAATAATGGAATTACACTTTTTCTTTAACACTGTTTTTGTTGCTTTATTGTTTATGTTTGGTAAACATGCTTTATATACAAAGTATCAATATAGATTATTTTTTTTATAAATATTTGATGGGACATAAAGAAATGATATGCATGGTTGCAGCCATTGCCCCAAAAATTGGAATATTTGATGGCAAATTAATGCTCCATGCACACTCGGCTTAAAAAACACCAGTTCCCTTGGCAGAAAAATAACACTCATATAGAGCATTTTTGTACACATGTTTAGGCATGTTTAGTGTTTCTTTCTGCCAAAAAACTTCAGTTAAAAATGCAAACCAGGAGGGTTTTTTCTGCCTCTAAACACCAAGCTTAATCTGTTCCCGTCAGCCACATGCATATATGCGTCATCTTGGAGGGTGGGCTTTAATGCCTAGAAGCCGCATATATACGTCCCAAAAGTAAAGATTTCTATGCGGAGAGTGCATGCCCAGCACTCCCAGCACAGTTACCAGCAGGAACCGGAAAGCACCCAATGCTTACTTGCAATCACAGCAGGCACATGACTGGAATGGCCACCTCTGCCTTCCGGCATTTAGAAGCTCATAAAGGAAGGTGGTGGCATGAAGGGGTTAAAATATGCATCTAAACATCCTAATGAGCACGGACACACAGGATAACATTGAGCTGCTTCTACAGGCAAAACACAAAACGCCTGTAGAAGCAGCATTTTTTAGGCCAGTGTGCATGGAGCCCAATTATGTTTTGAGAAGACTTTGCTGTGCTATCTATGGATTCCATTGGGGAGGGGCTTTTTATGCCTTTAGTTCATTCTGACCATAACCTGTATGGATTTACTGTCTTGTTGGGTCCCAAGCCCTACTTCATAGCAGCTACGATTTCCATATACTGCACGGATTATGGTCAAAAAAGCCTGAAACAGCTGTATGTAGTTTAGAGTATGTGGCCCCTATAATATTAGACTATGGGGTGGATTTACTAAAGGCAAATATACTGTGCACTTTACAAGGGCAGTTGATCCAGAGCTTAGTAAATGAGGGCAAGCGCTTTTTACTTCTATCATCCAATCATGTAAAAGCAAAAATGCTGTTTTTATATTTTCCTGTGATTGGATATTCTTTGCAAAGTGAAACTTCATCTCATTCACAAAGCTCTGGAGGAAAGTCCTTTGCAGAGTATAATTGCACTTGCAAAGTGCACAAACTATTTGCCTTTAGTAAATCTACCCCTATACATGATGCACAGTACATACCAGTGGACTAGATGTGCACCTGGCTCATGGGGCAAAATGGAATGATTTGCATGGCTCCGCCCACTGTTCTGAAATGGGAAATAATTTTCCTATTTCTAGGATATGTGATGGAATGAGATTTGGCTATACCTTCTGTTCTAAGAAGACTTTACTGTGCTACATAGACATATTGCTATAATGCATATTGTATTTTTTTTTTTCGTAACAGCCATGTCCAAAAAAACCCAAAATGCACTGGCTTTCAACACATAATAAAAGATAATAATTTCCACTAAACTATTTCATTGATCTGTCCTTTTGGCATCCATTTTTTTATTCACCTCAAATGTTCACTCAAGATCCCTCAATGGGGTAAAGGGAAATAATATGCCCAAAATAATATACCTACAGTCTTCTACATCATCAGGACCTAAGAAGTTCCTTAGACCCAGTACTAGTGGTGTATTTAGCTCTTGTGCTGCCCTAGGCAACACTAAAATTGTGCAGCCCCCACCACCACCCAGCCACCCTGGCTCCTACTGCCACCACTAAAATTGGGCATCTGCCACGTCACTACAAATGGGTGCGCCCCACAACCCACCCCCCTCTGCCCCCTGGGCCCCGCCGCTGCCACTCTCTGCCAAACAAAACCCCTGGCTCCGCACCCGCAGAGAGCGAAAGTTAGTCAAGCACTTACCATAACCTCTCCAGAGCCAAGCCCAGTGTCTTCCTGCCTTGTGCGGCAAGCTTACACCCTCCAGCAGCGTGCAGCCTCCTCGGATTCCATGGTGGAGCCTCACCAGGTCCCCACATCCTCAGGTGACCCTAGGAAAACGCCTTGTTTGCATCGCGGTAAATATGGCACTGCCCAGCACTACTACTGAACAGACCCATCTGCAGGGTCTTTGCATACTGAGTAATAATAGACTAAGCATCCCTGAGGTCTATATCTCTAGTCTAGCTCACAACTGGGCAGCATGGACAAGCAAGAAGTCTTTTTCATCCTCTTCTGCTCAGCACTTTACTTTCAGCAAATGTTTCCACTTTATGTATGACTGTGCAGTTCACAAGCACCTACAGTAGTAATGACATGAAGGCATTTACACCTCCTGCCACCATAAAAACATACCAATATAACATTTTCAATAATTCCAATGAAAAATGACTGTAACTAAATATGGTTTCTGAAAAATTTCAGTCTACATACCTCATATCCTTTGAGCGATGGACCAACCAATACTACCGGTCTCATAGATGGCACAACATCATAAGGCGGTATATGCTCAGTCTAAAAATATAATATTGACCCATTAGTTGGCCAGTTTGGGTAACATTTAGATATTACTACTTTTAAATTTAGTAACAAGAACTTACCACTTTTTGCTTCTGTTTGGCTGCAAAAGAAAAACAGGACAGTTAGGTTCTCTTTAATAGAGAGCTCAAATGGCCTTCCTCAATTGTTAAATATATGAAGTATGTTGACTTTACTGTTCGCTATTTATGTGGGATGTATTTTTGCTAAGGGGCCTAAAACCCAAATGATCCTTCAGTTTAAATCGCCTAAATACATTCTTTAGAAAGCAGCCACATCCTGTGTGGTAAAACCTGTCCCCTGCCAGCATGGCGTAGAGAAGGACTCTCGCTCTCTGTGTGGAAGCAGTGGTCTCTTTACAGAGGTCCAGCACTCCCCCTGGTAAGTCACAAATAGAACTCTGCAGTAAGCAAAGCAAACCAAGCTTATTGGATTGTTCTAATTTTGACAAAACAGGGGGCATGTCAGTCCTCTGCAGAGAGACCACTGCTTCTACACAGAAAGCAAGGGTCCCACTCTGCTGCATGCTTGCAGGGGGCAGGATTTTCTACTGGGATATGGCTGCTTTCTAAAGAAAATTAACTGCACAACTTTGAATTCCTTTTTGTTTTGATGCACTTGGAATGTTTTCAGCGGATTTAAACTCAAGGTCCAATCGAGCTTTAAAGGAAACCTGTACTACAACAGGCTGCAATTTTCTGACCTCTCTTTCTGAAAATGTCAATTCCCTGGCTGTCATGCTGATTCAATTGCTTTAGTACTTCTTGAGTCTCTATCTTACGACAAGTAAGCAGATTCAAAATATTGACTTTGCTTTCAGTTTCTTACATAATTGTTCTGGGTGAGTGGGGTGTATTTACTAAAAGCAAAAAGGCTGTTCACTTCGCAAGGGAAGTTGTATTTTGCGAGGGAATTTGTCCAAAAGCCTATTAAATGAGGTGAAGCTCTGCTGACTTCCATCATTCAATCATGCAAGGAAACATGATGTGTTTTTTTTTCTTTGCATGTGATTGAGTATGCTTCACAAAGCTAGATTTCATCATATTTACTAAGCTCTGGGGCAAAACCTTTTGCAAAATGCTACTTCCCTTGCATTGTGAACAGCCTATTTACCTTTGGTAAATCAAATCCACTCTTTCTTGAACTTACAGTAGTGCTCAAAAGTTTGCATACCCAGGCACAAATAGTGAAATTTTGCCATTGATATTGGAAATATGGCTGATCATGCCAAAAAACTGTCTTTTATTTAAGGATAGTGATTATATGAAGCCATTTATTATCACATAGATGTTTGACTCGTTTTTAAATCATAATGATGACAGAAATCACGCAAATGGCCCTGATCAAATGTTTACATACCCTGGAATGTGTGACCTTGGTACAGACACACAAGGTGACACACACGGGTAAAAATGGCTATCAAAGGTCAATTTCCCACATCTGTGACTTTTTAAATTGCAATTAGTGTCTGTGTATAACTAGTCAGTGAGTTTGTTAGCTCTCACGTGGATGCACTGAGCAGGCTAGATAGTAAGCCATGGGGAGCAGAAAAGAACTCTCAAAAGACCTGTGTAACAAGGTAATGGAACTTTATAAAGATGGAAAAGGATGTAAAAAGATAACCAAAGCCCTGAATATGCCAGTCAGTACTTTTCAATCACTTATTAAGAAGTGAAAAGTTTGGGGATCTCTTGATACCAAGACAAAGTTAGGTAGAGCAAGTAAGATTGCAGCCACAACTGCCAGACATGTTTGTGATACACAGAAAAACCCACAAGTAACCTCAGAAGAAATATAGGCTGCTCTGGAGAAAGACCATTCATTTTTAAGAAGCACAATACAACAGTACTTAAACAAAAAGTAGCTGCATGGTCGTGGTGTAAGAAGAAGCCTTTACTGCATCAATGCAACCACAAATGCCCAGTTACAATATGCCGGTAAACAACTTCACACCTCATTCGGCTTTTTTTTGTGGCATTGATACAGTAAAGGCTTCTTTCTGCCACCTCCACCAAGAAGCTCATTTTCGTTCAAGTATCATTTTCCATCTTTATAAAGTTCCATTACCTTGTTAGGCAGGTCTTTTGACAGTTCTTTTCTGCTCCCCATGGCTCAGTATCTCACCTGCTCATGATCAGTCATATTTTCAATATAAATGCCAAGATTTCATGATTTCTACCAGGGTATGCAAACTTTTGAGCACAATTGTAGTTAAGCTAGAGACAGCCAGGCAACTTGAATGTTCGGAAGGAATTATAGCAGCTTAAGTACAGGTTTCGTTTTTTAGAGTATATAAAAGGGGACACATAGAAAAAGGGCCATGTTCACAAGAGCTTATAATCTATTAGAGTATGAAGACACAATTAAACCATGCTGGCTGGTAAGACTTCATAATTCTTAGTGATGATTGTAACTGGCCACACATAGGAAATTGGAAGAGAATTAGAAAATGTGATAAGCTGTAGATAGGTTAGGTTATATGGGAATTCATGAAAGTTTAGGTGTGTATAGAAGATGTTACTGGTGTGTAGGACAGCTGTGCTGTGCATGGATAGGGTTCTGAAGATCCTTATGCATAGAGGGTTTTATTAGGGGTATTTGAAGAAGCCCATACTGATCCTGTCACCCCTGCCTTCATTCTCTCTTAGCCTAGGCCAACATGGTGGCAAATACAAAACTACATCAAGCCCCTGTACCCTCTAGCCACTTTTTAGCCAATAAATGCCTCCAAGGTGGGGTAGCGGCCCTTCTGTCTCTCTGATTTCGTTTCACTATCACTGGGGCCTGACCTCCCTTGACTTCATAGCTAGGTTTGACCTATTGCCATGTAACTAAAAAAAAGCTGCATCAGTGGCCAAAAAGGACACTTATATTGGACAAAAGGACATTAGTCGGTGTATTCTAGTCATATCTTGGAAAATCAAAGTGAAACTATATCATAGAAGGCACAGAAGAGTACTGTCTGGATAATAAAGACAGTGGTAGGTACAATGTAGTGTTTGCTATTATAAGCATGAATTTCTACACTTAGAAGAAAAAAAATGGATTACTTTAGATGTACTTAGCCCACTGACTCAAAATATTTCAGGCCCCTACTCAACAGGTGCTCAAGAACATGTGCAAAGTATGCACTGAGCACAGTTTATCATAGCCACTGTGTATTCATTGTTACAAAAAAAAAACTAGTAAAAAAAAAAAAAAAACTATAAGTGCAGGCCATTTGATGACCATCTGACAAAGCTAGTTGCATTCCAGTCAATATGGAAGACAAAACTAAGAAGTTTTTTTGCTGGTTTTCATTGTAAACCTGTGCCCAGACTATGCACTTTAAAGTATTTATGTATTTTAAAAATGCATGAAAACACTTTCAAACAAGCCCTCATTCACTGCTGTAGCTAAATACATTGTGGAGTAAATAATCCTCAAAGGTCATGGCAGGGGAACTGAAATCACAGCTATTCTTCCCTTCGGGCTCCTTCCAACCACTGCGCTGTGGTAAAATAATGAATGGCCCATAACATGGGGCTATGCACTATAATTCATTGTATTGTGCTAGCATAAATGCAGCATATGTTTGATCAGTTGTGCATTAAATAACCAATTTAGCTGAATAAACTGTCGTAATGCAATGCAAATTAATGGACAAGGTAATGCCTGCGTGTTAAGCGCACTGCAACAGAATGCCTGGTGTAAAATAGCCCTAGTTTCTGTGCCATCACCCTGCCAGCCTTCTAATGTAAACACACAGCAAGTGTTTCTGATATATATTTATACACGTGATTTTGTATTTCCAGGTAGGGGGAGTGTGTGCGCCCTACCCGTGCCGCTATTGGCAGCTACAGCTGTAGATCACCAGATCCTGACCGGAGATTCCCCATCGACACCCTGCGATTGCCGAGGAACACTGAAGGGGAGAGGTCTGTATGTAATCAATACAGATCTCTCCCCTGTCAGTTCCAGCATGCTGCTTTGTATTGCTCTGGATAGCAGAGCAAAACAAAGCAGCATGCTGACACAGTAAAACACACATCGCACACAGATTACACTTTGATTGCCCAGATGTTGACCCCTTCCTGTCCAGTGCCATTAGTACAGCGTCAGTGCTTTTTGTTGACACTGATCACTGTATGGTGTCACTGGGGATGTCGATGACAGTTGCCAGTCCCCCCCCGTGTCAGAATGCTCACAGCAGTCCCACTATAAGTCGCTGATCGCCGCCATTACTAGTATACAAAAGAAAAAAAATTCCAGTATATATACCGCCATTTTCAGAAAGCTGTAACTTTTACATTAAGATATTAATTTACACGTATTGGTATTTTGTTTTAGCAAAGACATGTAGCAGAATAAATTTTGGCCTACATTTATGATGAAATAAATTTTTTTTAAATTGTTTTACTGGAAATGTTTCATAGCAAAAAGTAAAAAATATTATTTTTTCAAAATTTTGGTCTTTTTTTGTTTATAGCGCAAAAAAATAAAAAACAAACTGGCGATACCACCAAAAGAAAGCTCTATTTGCGGGAGAAAAGGACATACATTTAATTTAGGTGCAGCATTGCATGACCGTGCAATTGTCAGTCAAAGTAACGCAGCGCCGTATCGCAAACAATGGTCTGGTCAGGAAGGGGGGGTAAATCCTCTGGAGGGCAAGTGGTTAATGCATGTATATGTATTGCCCATAGTCTGGGCACAGGTGCACTTTAAAGCGGAAGTCAAAGTTTAACTTTTCCCTACACGAAAGCTTATAAAAAGTCTTGTAAGTGCCTCTGAAATGACCCTTTAGTAGATATTAACTGAGCGTGCCATGAATGCAGAGAGTGCCGTGCCACAATGGTGACTTCCATGTGCATTCACAGGAGTGATGTCATCGCAGGCCAGCCATTCAAATTGCTGGAGAGCGAGAGCCAAAACGGGAAACTGGGTGAAGATGGAAGCAATGGGAGTGACGGTTCATTGAAGGAGTACTCCGTTTGAGGCTGCTTTTACACTGCAGTGTAACTTCTTGTACACTGATGCGCTTCTAAAACACACTATGCGGTTTTAAAAAAAATCCATAGTGCATTTTAAATGCGTTGTATT